ATATCATTAAAATGTAATTGTGATATAATATTATGTAATATTATATTAAATAAGCAAATATAATATTCAAAATAAATGACAAAATTTAAATATTGTTCCCGATATAATCTACCTATTTAACAATACAATCTACTATTACCTACGGATCATTCTATCTATGTTTATTCTATGATAAATAAAAAACCTACCGCGCGAACACGGAGTAGCGCACATTTTTTGTTTGAGATAGCTGTTCTAGTACGTAAGTACATATTACTTCAATGACTCAAACAAATATTTTTGAACCGTAATACCTATCTACTTATTCCGTACGAAATTTAAATCCGGTCATACGCCGAAGACATTTAGCTACTAGGCGCATGTATATCCAGCGTGTTTCGCTGTCAGGTCGTTGGCTTGCAGAGACTGACGACAAGCGTATTGGTGCGTTTGGCAAAAAACCTAGCAAGCGTGTAAGCAAAATGCGATCGTAAGCGGTAACTAATGACGGTTTTTTTTTTAACGGGAAAACAAAATAATATTCCCACAAAACCAAAACAAAAGCGCCAACAAGAAACCAAACCATTATGTCCTAAAGTTCGTGCGTGTAGTTTCAGTAAAACTATAACATAAAATTCTATAACCTACACAGCGCCATCTGTTGTTATTTTACTATGTTTTCCTATTGTCGACCTATAAAAAAAGATCTCTGTGTTGTCGACCAAGGCAAAGTATTAATGAGGGTTAATAACCTTCCGCTCACCAGATGTCACTAGAGGACACTGATGTGATGTTTCTTTATTACACAAGTTTTACATAAAAGTTTAACAATTTTTAGAGTATTATATTTAAATCCACAAAACAATGTCTCAGTGGTTTGTTCTTAAATATTTTGCACAATTTTAACTATTTTTTTACTTTTTTTACTTTCATGAATCTTTTGTTTTTATTTATGTATTTTCAATCTAAATAATATAAAATGTAACTAATAATACAGAAAGGAACATTAACTTTTTCATTTTTCGAATAAATTAACTTCCTCGCCATAAAATTTGTCAAATATTACACCTTATTTTTATGTGGCGCCGCCCTGGTGGCAGAAAAAGTCGTGGAGAACTCATTGAGGGCTAATAATCTTCCGCGGACCAGACGTCGCTAGTTGACATTGAGATAAAGTTTTTTTTTTATTACACAGTGTCATAATTTAATTGAGAATTTAGTTTTATATAAAACTTTATCAATTTTTAGAGTATAATGCCTCAGGGGTTTGCTCTTTAATTTTTTGCACATTTTAACTCTTTTTTTAAATTTCTACTTTTATGAATATCTGTGGTTAGGTTTATTTTTTTAATACAATTAATATTAAATTTAACTAATAGTACATAAAGAAACATTAAAACCTTTACATCTTTACATTTTTCGAATATGAAATCTGTCAAATATTACAACTCATTTGTAAGTAGCGCCGCTCTGGTGGCAGAAAAAGTCGTGGATGCCTGATTGATATTAAAACATAGCTAGTATTTTAAAAAGGAAATTCAAAAAACATTACAAAACTTTTTTATAATAGCGTTTTTATAATGTTTGTGGCTAGTACGTACGATAATTACAACAGGAGAAATTAAACCTTCTTTTGCGTTCCTCTGAATTTGTTTATGAATGTATATTAAAATTTAAACAGTTCGTATAACGGTATAATATACGAACTGTTTATATTAGCACCTTCTAGTTGAATACTCGAAGCCTTGATCATAACTGGCCATTTTCTACAGCGCCATCTGTTGACAGTTGATGATTTCTACAGATTGGTTGTTGATAGCAATTAATAGTCTGAGTATAGTAATTCTATAAATCTAGGTGTGGATCACGAGTCCATGACTCTGGACCTTGATCTAGATCATGAACCACGCTCCGAATAATCAAAAGGTAATCAACTGCACAGGGTACCTATTATACTGTAAAGTAGAACACAATAGGGCAGTAAGTGGCTATGACAATCTTTGTATGCAAATGATTAAACCTATCACTAATGAACTTGTCCCTATTATCACTCACATTATCTCTTCTTCGCTTGAGACGAGCTCCTTTCCGACTTGCTGGAAAAAAGCATTCGTCATTCCCCTTCCAAAAACTTCTAATCTTACATCTTTATCCCAATTCCGCCCTATTTCCATTCTTCCGATCTTATCTAAAACTAGAAAATATAGTTCAGAGGCAACTATCTCAATTCCTAACTGTTCACAGCCTGCTGAGTCCTTTTCAATCTGGTTTTCGTCCAGGCCATAGCACAGTCAGCGCTCTGATTAAAGTGTCTGATGATATTCGCTGGGCCATGGACAAAAGACTTCTCACTGTTCTAACATTATTGGATTTCAGCAGTGCATTTAATTCCGTTGATTATGACATACTTCTTGGTATTTTTGCGTCCTTAAACATTTCACCATCAGTAATCTCTTGGTTTAATTCTTACCTTAGGGGTCGCTCGCAGTGTGTCCGCCATGAGGAGGATTTCTCCGAGTGGTGTGATCTTACGGCGGGTGTTCCTCAGGGTGGTGTTCTTTCTCCACTTCTCTTCTCTATTTTTATCAATGCTCTCACTACTCTTCTCTCCTCTCATTATCATCTCTATGCTGATGACTTGCAATTATACCGTCATTTCAAAGTCCAAGATATAGATGAGGCTATTAATAAGCAGAATGCTGACTTAGGTAGCATAAGCAGTTGGGCAAAATCGTTTGGTCTTCTTGTTAACCCTGCTAAATCCCAAGTAATGATTATCGGCAGCTCATATATGCTTAATTTATTAGATCGTTCGAAGATCCCTGCAGTAACGTATGATAATACTCAAATTCCATATACAGAGACCGGCTAAGAACTTAAGTGTTATTTTTGATAATAATTTGTCTTGGGTCGCTCACATTAATATGATTAGCAGAAAAGTGAACTACTCTTTTCAATCTCTCAAGCGTCTCCAGATGTTTTTACCGTTAAAAACTAAGATAACCTTAGCTCAAGCACTTTTTCTTCCTCTCATTGACTACGCTGATGTTAGTTTTTTGGATGCTTCAGAGGAGCTGTTGAACAAACTGGAACGTGTTCAAAATTTGTGTATACGTTTTATTTTCGGTCTTCGTAAGTTTGATCATGTTTCAGAGTACAGGGCTCAATTAAAATGGCTTCCTATCCGTAGACGTCGAGACTTACATGTGTTATCATTTCTATACTTTCTACTCTTTAATCCTCTTGCACCTCCATATCTCCGCGAGCGTTTTGAGTATCTTGTACCTCGTGTAACTCAGTGCCGGACCACTAAACAACTACTTCTCAAAACTCCTTTTCATTTCACAAGCCGTTGTGGTGGATCCTTTACTGTAAGGGCGGTCAAGCTATGGAACTCACTTCCACATGACATACGTGCTAGCTCTTCTCTTGATATATTTCGGAGCAGAGTAAAGAAATATTATCTGTCAACTTAGAATTATAAATATTTACATATTTTATGTATTTATATGTATAATTGTATATATATGTATGTGTGTATGTATATATATGTGTATATATATGTATATATATGCATATATATATAAGTGTGTGTGTGTGTATATGTGTATATATGTTTATATTTATTATCTTCATTGGTATATATGTATGTAAATTAATAAAAAAGAAATAAGAAAATAAATTATAGTTATATGTTATACACTTATATGTTAATTGTTAACTGTAACTTATAGCCAATTTCTATTAAGTAGCGTTATGTTAATTATTAAGTACGCACGCTGCTACCTACTTGCTTTATATATAAAACTATTTCTCTTTCCCAATAGGTTTGCTGGAAGAGAACTCTTATTAGGGTTAAGCTCGCCTTTGTACATTTATTTAAATATTTAATAATTGTTACCAACTTATTGTGTGTACAATAAAGAATAAATAAATAAATAAATATAGTTATATAAATACTCTTTTATAGGGCATGTACTGCTGCTTGGTGGCAGAAATAGGTACTTATTAAGCTAGGTTATTAAGCTAGGCTATTAAGCGGTGCTAGTACCTAGGACTCAGTCGGATTCCTAGGCAATAAAGTCTGGATTTTTTTAACAAATTTTGGGACGGTGCAGTAACAAATATGTTTAGTCGTGATCGAGGAATCATATGAGTACTTTTAATAAAATAAACAAAATCAACATTTACTGTTTAAACGTTACTAAAATCCATTATATTTTTTCGTATTTAGCTGTACAGGAATAGTAACTACGTAAGTATTTTCTCTATTTTTAGTTCGGTTCAGGGTCGCAGAATATTACTATTTCTTTACTAGTATACGTGCAAGTACTTATAAATTAGATAGACTAAACGTTTTTTATATTAGTCTTAAAATAAAAATAACAATATTATAAATATTGTAATTATGCCGGCCTACGATTGGCCAATTGACACTGAAAATTTACCTGTAATGCGAATTGTTACACCCCGCAATGTTGTTATGTGTGGAATATTTGGAAAGTGAGTGTTCATGTAGCATTATTTTAAGCCTTTTTTAATGTTTGTACCATAAGAGGTATGTTTGTTATGACATTTTTAATATTATCTAATGTTTCTTCATTTTTTAATTAAGACATAATATGCCTATTAATAACCCACTCTACCTTGTAAAATCATAACTTTTACATATCCTGTTACAAGTAAAACCTAATCCAAAACATTTGATAACTACTTAAATCATTACACACAAAGCTTAATTAATATTTTTACGTAAAATTAAGTAAGGATTTTTTTATATACAAGATTATTTATGAAAGATCAATAATAATAAAAACATTACTCGAAATCGTTATAACGGAACGTCTTTCATAAATACGAACGTCATTTTTGACATTGAGAAATTTAAATGTCAATTCACAATTCAAAATTTCAAAAATATCAAAACATACGATAAATACGAAGTTAGATTTTTTATTCGCGTATAATATTTAAATTTGCCATGAAATAATATACTTGCATTAAGTATAATTCAACAAAAAATGAGTTCGCCAAAAGAAAGTCGGTCTCAGGCTTCGACCGCGGTCAGCGTTGAGAATACAAGCGAAGTAGATGAGAGCACAAAACCCGATTTTATATACGGCGGGCCTTTTATAAAAGTAGAAAAACCAAATCCGTTCATAGATACAGCTACACCAATCAATCTTCAGCTGCAAGGCACTTTCAAAAAGTACGTATAGTTCAGTCATTAAATGTTAAAGGTTCTGTAACAATATTTTATATCGTTATTATCTCGTTATCTTTTTTAATTAACTATACAGCGCTTATCATTTATTTTATTATGCATCAATATATCATGCGGTTAATTTATTTATTTTATAAAAACAATAAAACTGAATTTAAAAAAAAATTGATATCTTATGATCAGCCTCTATAAGATGATTTCTAGACAGAGTCGCTTCTGCTGTAGTAAGTATTTGCATTTATTGAAATGCTTGGAAGGTGGATTGGCAATCACACTATCGGACGTATGTGCTGCTCCTACTTGTACTCAGAAAACATATTTGTGTATAGAAATTACACAATGATACTATGTAGTGGTCAAATTAAAATTTTTGTATAACCATCTTCAATATAAATAAAATGGGAACATGATCAATGTAGTCAAAGTCAATTAAATATGCATTATTAACTCAAAAACTACTGGTCATATTGTTATCAAATTTATTTGGGACCACATGAGAAGCATCAGCTTTCAAATAATAATAAAGATTTATTTCTTTACACATTTACAGAGTTAACAAAAAATAAATTCATAGAACTATCATAAGTTTTCGTTGGTTTATGTTGTCCGTCTTGGGTAAAAGACTCCTCCAACTTGAGCCATTCTTCGCAGTTTTTGGTAATTTGCATCCATTCTTCTCCTGCTGTGTTAATAATGTCATCCACCCATCTTTTCCTTTGCCGACCTACACTCTTGTAGCGAAATTCGTTAAATAAGAATTGTCAAAATCAGATCACCTAGAAAAAAATTCTGAGGTAACACACATAAAAAAATACAATTAAATTGTTGAATCCTTTTTTTGAAACCTATTCTTGAAGCCAATTAAAAATAGACTTCTCTACTGAGCATTGTAACTATGTTGCATTTTTATTGATAAAACTCTCTATATACATTATATAATTCTAATGTAAATTAAAGTAACAGCCCATATACATATTATACAGGTTAATAATCTTTTTATAAAGCAGTAGAGAATTGTTTTTTTTTATGGGAGAGCAAATGAGCATATGGCTCCCCTGATGGTAAGTGATTACCGCTGCCCATGAGCAACTGCAACACCAGGGGAATCGCAGATGCGTTGCCGGCCTTTTAAAAAGGAGTAGGCTCTTTTCTTGAAGGTCCCTAAGTCGTATCAGTCTGGAAAAATACCTGGTGGTAGTCGATGCCACAAGGAAGTTGTGTGAGGAAGAAAACTTCTTTTAAATCGCATGGTAGACCATTCGAACAGCTCGAGCAATTGTAGAGTGCAACACTGCTTCTGATTTTATAACGTAACAAATTGTTGATATTATGTATTTAATTATACACTTTATCGTTGTGTATACACAAAGGAAATATAATAGAAAAACCTAAACCAAGACTATTGGCTTAGGTTTTTCTTTTATATAATATTACTATTATATATCTATTATACATATTAGATTTAACAGCATCTTTAAATTGAGCAGCATTTGAGTATTTGGACATGTCTTCAAAATATTTTGTTTCAATCTTCACAGTATGAACTTATGGTATCTTGAAGTCTTGCAGTTGTATGCTAGGGTTGGGATTTAATTTTATTTATTATAGGATCCCAAGCAGATGGTAGCACCCAGCCATCTTCTCTATTGAAATTAGGATGTTTTTTGATTTCAATAGCCTCATGAATCATCGTTGGAAGGAATTGGTGTTCTTTGGCGAGCGTTTGTGATCTATCAAATCTGATGTAGTGAGGGGGACGATTCTGTACATGTTTACAGACTACAGAGTCACACAAACTTGACATACCTCACGCACTTTTTCTCATGCATGTATCTAAGCGTACACCCCCTTCAGTTATACTATGGTCATTCACATTCTACCATCTATGTACAACAAATCTATCGTGCTGTCTTTTAGTATCGTTATAACACATGATATCATGTATTAACCTTATTGTTCTTCTTCTTGGTTTCTTCCAACCCTGGTCTCATTATCAGGAGTTTCTATCATCGATCACTAATAAAATGTTTCAACTCACTTTTCTGCACCAAGTTAATGTATCTTCGGTTCTAATTGGACTTGCTTCGGTTCTCTTTTTGATTAAATCTAAGCTGACTAGGTAGGTAATCTAGGACCTATCTAGGTTTGAGTAAAATATTACACCCTAGTTCCCAGAGTTAGGAACACCTTCCAATATTGTTATACCAATATTGATATATGATGGTATAAAGATTATTGTTTGGTAACCCCTGGGATTGATGTTGCTATGTACCATGTACCTGCAGGTTTCTTAACTTATCTCATTTTAAATGAAATGATAAATTACCTATATTCTATAATATGCTTATTTTTTCATTAAAAATATAACTAAAATTGAATAAAACTACTTTTACGGATATTAGAATGTTTAATTATGATCTCCAGGCATTTTTAATGCTTTCCAGCACCCATGGCTACGGAAGGTTTGCGTAACTAATTAATTATATAATTCATTATTAATCATTTATGTGGTAGAGCTACACTGTAGCTACATTAGTTGTAGCACAAAAAGGACAGCTTAATTTTGCTGTGTTACCTATGGTGAGTGTAAAGAACCAGACACCCTATTGTGAGTCTAGAGAACTGGACACCCTTTTTACTGAATACGAGGCATTCCATATTAGTCCTCAGGGGTGACAACACATCTTAATTTTGTGATAAATATCTATGGGCCACAGTTCCCACACACCATCAGTGGAATTGTGTGCTTGTTTGTCACTCTTTTTCTATATAAAAAAGTAAAATAATAAACTAAAAAAAGTAAAACTTAATAATTATTTATTTATTTACTAACTCTTTATTGTACACCATAATACAAAAAAATGAGTATGGTTAAATCTAAAGTTGGATATGTACAACAGACGGTTTAATCACTTGTAATCGCTTCTAGATAACCTTTGTAAAGAGAACTGATGCAAACAATAGTTAAAATAGAGCCACCCTCTACAAAGAAAATAAAAATATGAAAATACATACAAATAAAGATAAGTAAAAATTACATATTAAATCATATATAATGGAATACATATAAAAATGGGAAATAAAATCGGTTCACAATTCACGCATTGCATATACGTACAAAAAAAAAACAGTAATTGGGAACCTCACTTTTGAAGTTGGCATAGAATTTCATGATATTTGTTAAATTTTGTATCAGAATATAGTAAAATTAAACATTTCATTATAGCCTTTATTCTTTCGATATAAAGTTCATTTTGTGTTGATATCTATTAATTACAGATAATTGATATTGCTTTGGCGTTGGTATATTTTTTTAATATATACATAACGCGGTTATTTATAATATGATAAGAAATTATTTTACTATTATTTTGACTTTCTGGGAGTGTCATTGTAAATTTCAACCATGCTCCTATAGCCCGGATAGCTCAGTCGGTAGAGCATTGGACTTTTAATCCAAGGGTCCAGGGTTCAAGTCCCTGTTCGGGCGGTTGTCTTTTTTTATGATTTTCCCTTTTTTTTTGTATGGTTACTGTATTTTATTTTGATAATATAATGGATTTTTTATACTAAAAGATATAATAAAGATTTGGCTATGCAATAGTAATTTTGTTAGTTGTTGTTCGATTTGTAAATTATAAATAATTTATAATTTAACATTTTCAATACAAAAAAATCTAAGCATTGGCTTACGTAAATATTAAAATATATTTTATATTAATTAAAAGGAAGAAAGTTAATCCTGGAGGAAATCTTATATAATATATTAATTAAAAAAATTGGTGAACAAGGCATATTTTTTATTTATTAATAAAAACACATTATACGTATTTAAGTATGTATTATTCATTTTTTGTATTTATATATTTTTGGGTCAAAGTATATAGGCCAATGTTTTTAATTTTTAAGTCCTTCATGCCTATAAAATTGTATGGTATTTTATTCTATAGTATTGTATATTGTATTTGTTTATATAACAAAATATACAATTACAATAATTAAAAAAAAACAACTCAAAAATTATTATACAGTCCCACTCGCCGCAATGTATTGCCAAAAACCCTGATTACATTTTTTCGCTGAATGACTATCGGGAAAGAACCAGCCCTCTTCATCACCCATCAGCGGCGACGACAAGTCGCGGACAGTATAGTACCTTTAGCTCTCGTCAGAGAGAAATATATTACTCGTCCTGTAGGCACTTCACCGCACGTGGATTCCATGGACCGATAGTTACTAATGTGAAAGATGACTTAACGTTAATTCTAATCACAGAAATAGTAATAATGGGTGCGTTTGACAGAAAAAAGCGCTAGCAAGCGCTTGTAAGCAAAATGGCGATCGTAAGCGATAAGCGCTGTCAGGACACGAAGTTAGTTTTAACCGGGGAACATAACCTAATTTAAATATATGTTTGTGAAATATTCATATTAAAAACTTAACAATCATGAATTTTTAATAACATGTATATGTTTATTCATGTCATTATATTACTTAAAACTAATATTGCACAAAACAACTTATAAACTCTACTTCAAAACAAACAAATTAAATAAGCAAAATGGCGGATTGTGTCAGCGCTACTGAAGTGTCCTGGCCGAAAAGTGGTTAGTTTCGCCATTTTGCTTACAAGCGCTTGCTAGCGATTTTTTCTGCCAAAAGCACCCAATATTATTACGATTTCTGTGATTCTAATTTATGTTCACATTTTTAATAGGATATGGGGACAAACGAGCACACAGTCCACCTGATGGTAAGTGGATGCTGTGCTATGGCCCATAGACATCTACATCTGTCCTCGATTAAGAATCAAAATGCAGATGAGTTGGCACTTGGGTTGCTACCTTTTTTTTTAACAAATATAGTACTTTTTCTAAAAAAAAAGGATCCAAAAATATAGTACAGTTGAGAAATTCAGGAAAAAAGTACACATTTATTTTTAATATTTATGTATTTTTTCAACTATATTTGTTATTGGTCTTTGCTTTGGCCTTCAATGATCTAATACCTTTAAAATTTAAAATAATTAATAAATAAGTCTAAGCAATTTAGATTTATATATTATTTAGTATTTATAAATTACATAATACTCTATTTTTTACTTGTTTCAATTTTACTTAAATGACGGAAAAATATATTTCCGTAAAACTTACTTGTTCCAGAATTCCAATCACAGTTAATATAAAAAAGTGCAACAATTGAATTAGGAATAAAAATATAGTATTTTTCGTACTATATTATTTTTCTATAATATATAGTATAATTGACTGATGTATAGTACGATACTATAATATATTATAGTATGGGTGCCAAGTGCCAACCCAAGCCTAGTTGGCACCCCGCCGATGATATAGATTTAGTGAGCGGTTAGCGTGTACGGGTGGGCGTTGCGACGACAAACCGTTTATAAAGACCGTTTTGTGTTATGCGACGATGAAACCGTTTCACGTTCTGTGTTCAAACAGTCTTCATTGCACAAACCAGTCATTGAATTACTTGGTGTGATTTTTTATTTAACGACTATATAAATACGGTCGAAAACGCAATGATTAAGCTATCTATCACACTCGTCGCGTCGTCGTACTTAACGTTCTGCGTTATATTGTAGTATTTGGTTCCGCGTTCGTTTACAGACGTAGACAGAGACTAAACAGTCATTACAATAAAAAGTAAACTTTTTGACAATGAAATACAGTCGTTAATGTTAATGGTAATGTTAAGTCTGTCGCAGCCAGTCCCAAGCCTGGAAAAGTATGAAGGAATGTTCATTTAATCGTTAAGTAAAGTCTATTAGTAAAACGAATTTTTTAGTAAACCATTTCATATGTTTCAAATCGTTGTAAGGAACTGCAAGCATTTCACTCGACGAAAACGCAATTCTATTCCATGTTGGGTAACTTTCGTCCTTTAAGCCGTCTTCAAACCAGTTGCAACGACGAAAGCTTTCTGAAACCGTTTTCGTCGTCGGGAAAACGGTTACGTTTCGTCCGTCAAAAATTCGACAACAACCCATCACTAGCAGCGTGATCTTGTCAAGTTAAAGTGTAATTTAAGTAAAAATTCAAAAGGTTATTATTCAATTATTTTAATTTCTTTCAGGAGTTTCGCGTACTATTCACTCAGAGAGCGTATGCCTGTCATATTAACGAAGGTCATAGACTATCTGTCTAGGGAGGGGAATAAGATAAAAACGAAACATGGCGCTGTAAGTATAATTAGATTATTTAAAAATACCACATTACACATATGGTTGCCACCTTAGCCAAGTATAGTACTTTTGAGAAATTGAGGAGAGAAATAAGTACACGTTTATTTTTAATCTTTATGTATTTTTTCATATATATTTGTTATTGCCCTTTAGCCATCAATGACCTAACCACCTTACCTTCCTACCTTACCTTTGAAATAATTATAGGAGTCTGAGCGATTTAGATTCATATTAAACTAAATTAACAATTAATTTTTAATTAAGTTACTACATGCTCTTTTTATTTCTTCTTTCAATTTTACATTCATGATGGAAAAATCTTTCCGTAAAACTAACTTGTCCAAGACTTTCAATCACAGTTAATATAAAAAGCGTGATCGTTGAATTAGGAATAAAAACATAGCATTTTTCGTACTATATTATTTTTCTATGATATATAGGGCAATGAGGGCATCCACGACTTTTTGTGCCACCAGGGCGGCGCCACTTAAAATGAGGTCTAATATTTGACAGATTTCATAGTCGAGAAGTTAATTCGTTCGAAAATTTTAAAGGCTAATGTTTCTTTCTGTACCATTAGTTATATTTTATATTTATTAGATTAAAAATAAATAAACCAAACCACAGATATTCATTAAAATAGAATAATCAAAAAAATTGTTAACGATGTGCAAACAATTAAAGACAAACCGCAGAGGCATTGTTTTGTGTATAAATATAATACTCTAGAAACTGATAAACTTTTATTAAAAACTAAATTAATAATTAAATGACATTGTGTAACAAAAAACTTCACCTCAATGTCGACTAGCGACATCTGGTGAGCGTAAGATTATTTGCCCTCATTGACTGAAATATAGTACGACACTATATAATATTATAGTACAGGGGCAACCTTAGCTGTGGTCAAGAATTACCCTCGATTAAAAATCTAAATGTAGACGCGTTGTCGCTCCTGAGGACTAAGATAAGTATATCTTGTTACCAGTAAAAAATTAAAATTAGTTTAATTCAAAGTAATCATGCGTAATTTAAGTACAGGTAGCGCCATCTGTTCAAAAGTATCTGTGTCAAAAACAAACTAGGATTTTAGGTGGGCTACCTTTAAAACATGAAATTATATTTTAGTTAAGTACTATTGTTTCCCTTAAAAATCACTAACACCTGTTGAAATAAATTAAAATATGAATGTCAAATATAAAGCAGATGTGGTATTGATTTATTTATTTTATTTAAAAGACACGTAGCGCCATCTAGTTCTGTTGGGTACAATAAGCTGCAAATTCGCTTATCGCGATGAGGTAATAAAAAATACAGAGATATTGTTGCATTCAACAAGATTAGGTGTGGATAATCACAGAACTTACCACAATGTACCACCAGGTGGAATTGGTATATTATAGTTCAGGGGCTAAGCGCTCGCTCTAAACTTCACAGTACGTGAGCATCCCGGGTTCAATCCCCGCTGGAACCAATGAATTTTTTAATTGCAATTTTAAGTGCTGATCACGTGCTCGGCGGTGAAGGAAAAACATCGTGAATAAACCTGCATGTCTGAGAAATAAAAAAATATTTCGAAGATATCTGAAGTTCGCCAATACGCATAGGGGCTGCGGCGAACATTTCCTTACCCTAAAACCCTCTCAGAAATGAGAGGAGGCCTGTGCCCAGTTGTGGGACGTATGTAGCCTGTAACTTTAACTTTTTAAAATACATTTTGTTTTTTCATAGACTGATGAGGATGTAAGGAGTTTAATACAGTACATAAACAAATTAAAAAATGACCTTATCACGAATAAGAAATATGACCCGCTCACCGTCGATACGCCTGAAGCGAGGAATTGGAACAAGTGGATCGAGGAGACCGACTCCCAGTGCTACTTCCTCAACACCTGGGTATTCACCGAATGTTACGTTTATAGGAGACTGAGGGAAGGCTGCGAGCTAACGTAAGTCTTAATCATCATCATTTTCATCATCGTATTCATAACCATAGAAGTAGTAAACAGTTAAAAAAAATTATTTGAAGCGCCGGGTAAAACTTCAACGTTCGAGTTCACGTTTTTTTAAAGAGATAACCATATCATATATGGAAATATATATTACAAAAAAATAAGCATAAACACTCACGCCTGTCTCCCAGAGGGGTAGGCAGAGACTACGGACTTCCATTTGGCACGATCCTGACACATCTCTCCCGCCTCATTTACATCCATATAGACTACACATACATGCTCGTCGGCTAAGGGTACTCTTCATCTGGCACGTCTTCTATATATGGCCAATTTGGTTGATAAATTTTCGTCTAGGGCATCCGTTTCCGACTTTGTACTTCACTTCTGCAACATAAATTTGCTTTGTCATTCTTTCTTAAAATTCCGGAAGTCTATATGTAATAAGATGTTTCTATATGTATATGAAATCGATTTACTCAATATCTATTTGATTGATCACTATGAAAATTGGGATATATAGGTATTCTTCGAAGGTTTATAAACTAAAAAATATTACCATGTACTCGGCGGTGAAGGAAAACATCGTGAGGAAACCTGCATGTCTGAGAAATAAGAAAAATAAATATTTCGAAGACAAGTGAAGTTCGCCAACGCGCATTGGGGCAGCGCGGCGGACAATTCCTTGCCCTAAAACCGTCTCAGAAATGAGGCCTGTGCCCAGGAGTGGGACGTATATAGGCTGTAACTTTTTAATTTTTTTAGAAACAAACAAAATTTAAAACTTTTGTTTTTTTTTGCAATCAAGAGCGACAATTAATAAATTAAATTGCATGCGCTAAAATAAAGAACGTTACTGAACACAACCTATAATATTAACTTGCAAGAAAACGTCTGCCGGATTCAGCGAGTATAATATATTTTGATAATATGAAAGGCATGTTATTGAGTTAGAATATAATACGGCTACACTTAATTTAGATCCTTTATATCCTGATAATAACCAGAAACGTTTCAAATAAAGTAACAGAACGTAGTAGAGCCATGCTGCAGCTATATTGTGGTTGCAGCACGAATGGGTCGGGTCGACCGGGGTAGGACCACGCTCTCACAGAATACCAACGTAAAATAGCAGCTTAATGCTGATGCTGAATCTGTGTTTCGTATGGTGAGTGTAGAGATCCGGATATCCTTTTTACTTGAAACGAGGCATTCCATTTTAGTCCTCAGGGGTGGCAACGTATTTGCATTTTGATTCTTAATTGAAGATAAATGTAGATGTTTTTAGGCCACAGCATCCACTAACCATCAGGTGGACTGTATTCTCTTTTGTCACCTTTATTCTATAAGAAAAAAAGAAATTTTTGTCTTCCCAATGTGTGAGCGCAGTCGAGAAGGGAGCGCTTAAAGTAACTTTAACGTAGGAAATCCTCGCATTTATATCCTATGTCATATAATCATTGACTTATATATTACTAGCGTAAGGACCGGGTTGACCGAACAACTAAAACGGACCAGTGCGCTGGCCCTAAAATTACAGTTTAGGGCCAACGCGAATCGGTCGTCAGTGGTGCGCGCGCAGGACTGATTTGCCTGTCACAAATATGTCTAGTTGCGTGGTAAAAGAATGCAAAAATTACGATATTAAGATTTAAAAAAAAATATGGGATATCGTATCATCCGTAAATAACCATATATTAATTTTGTTACAATTAAATTATTATATAAACGCATTTTTAAAGTTTTATTGTACAGTTAGTTTAGTTACATTATCAAGATTAGGCCAGGGTTGAATTCAGGCCCTAAAAATATTGTACATAGAAAATAAAATTATACTATTTTAAAAAAAATTATATCACGTTTGACGTTTTATATTTCTTTTTTTCCCATGTGCCGGGATTTTGGCGTCACGCGTCTAGTTTATCTATACGTTTCGGTTTTTGACGGTTTTATTTTTATTTCTGTTTAATTTTTGTCTAAAGAAATTAGTGTAAGTTAAATTTTGAATGTTGGTACCTAATATATTTTATACTCAATAAGGCTAAAACGAAAAGAGTACAAAAGAAACCATATCTGCTTAATTGAATCAGAAAATATGATTAATAAAATATTTTGAAATTCTGTTTTCAAACCGATTGCTTCTGGAGCAAACAGTTTTTATCATGGTAGCCCCTCATTATAGTCGTATCAAGGATGCAACATAAATGCATCGATTGACCAGAAAGGGAGCTAATTCTAATTTTATTAAAAGAACGCGGTACTCATGTACAATACAGAAATTCTCGATATCGTAGGGTTAGTATTAAAATGTAAAGGACCCAATAGTGATACAAGTTGACCTTTAAGTAAAATTATGGTATTTTCGCTTAGTATTGTTACGAGCTTGAGGTTCGTGACAATAAAAATTGCCGATAAAATTACCTAAATTAACACTTTAATTTACTTTACACAAATTAAAACTTAAAACACTAATAATTAAACACACTAATTCACTTTATTCCGCTCCGAAGCTTCGCTTGTCTCGCCAAATCCAATACTGCCTCGATCGCATCTTGCAGCGCCTATTTATATAAATTAGCAAAGAAATATCCAGAATGTTCAAGTAAACACGCGCAAGGTACCGAGAGTTCGAGTTTTAAACTTCAAGAAGTTTAGTTCTTCGGTTCGAGACTAGATGGCGCTAGTGCCGTCGACTTGAGCGCGTAACACTGCCCGCTCCTAAGACATGCTCGTCCCGAGCATTATCGGTCCCGTAATAACGCGCTAGGCGATCCACATGGACGATCTTAGGAGTCCCTCTTGCGCCTTTCTGTATCCGGTAGGTTACATCGTTGATCCTGGTCACAATCCGGTACGGGCCGTCCCATTTAGCTTGAAGCTTAGGAGATTTCCCTTTGCTGCGGACTGGATTGTGCAACCACACAAGTGAACCTTCGTCGAACCCTTTGTTCATTTTGCGGTCATACCGGGTTTTCATCTTTTCAGACATTTGCTGGCCCGATTGTCTGACGTGCTCATAAACGTCATTCATTTTGTTCCGCAAGTCATTTGCATAATCGGTTATACTGCGTGTAGCATCAGGTGGTATCCCGGTGATCAGGTCTGCAGGCAGCCATAATTCTCTTCCAAAGTTTGCGAAAGCTGGTGTCACTGCTGTACTTTCGTGAACAGCGCTTCGATATGACAACAAAAACGGTTGTATGTGCTTGTCCCAATCTCGTTGCCGATTGTCTACAACTTTTTCTAGGTACCTCTCCAATGTCTGATTAAATCGTTCTACCATTCCATCAGATTGCGGGTGATAAGAAGTCGTTCTTGTTTTAAGAGTACCCATAACTCGGCAAGTTTCCTGGAATATTTGAGACTCAAAATTCCTTCCTTGATCGCTGTGAATCTCTAAAGGTACTCCAAAACGACAGAAGACTTCATGAACTAGTTTATCTGCAACTGTTGAAGCTTCTTGATTTGGAATGGCGAAGACTTCTGGCCACTTAGTGAAGTAATCCATCACAACCATGAAATACTTGTTACCGCTTTCACTCTCCGGAAACGGCCCCGCCACGTTAATGGCTATTCTCTCCCATGGTGCACCAACATTGTACAACTTCAATGCACCTCTACTACGAGTCTGAGGTCCCTTTACAGCCGCACAACTTGTACATTTGCGACACCAGTCCTCGACATCGTTTCGACAGTGGACCCAGTAAAACCGTTCTCGGATCTTCAGTAGAGTTCGTTTAACTCCTAGATGGCCTCCTGAACAATCATTATGGTACAGCTGTAGAACATCCGGTACTTTAGCTTTAGGGACAACCATTTGCAAATGACAGCTGTCTCCCCGAATATTTTCCCATTTACGGCACAGAACTCCATCCTGAAGCAGCAAGCTGTCCCACTGGGCCCAATAGCTTTTAGTGGTCGAACTCATCGCTGAGACGTCACTCCACTTGGGCTTGGGAGCACTGGCCTTTATCCATTCCAGAATCGGCTTGATGTCCGGATCTTCTTGCTGTGCATGTAGTAAGCTGTCCTTCCACTCGTTGCTGAGGTGGTCTGCCCTGAGCATCCTCACGGATACCACTTCCTTACTCTCTTGCCTAGTACAATGTTTGCAATCTTTAAGACAAGGTCTTCTTGACAATGCATCTGCGTTGCCATGAGATTTCCCGCTGCGATGTTCGATCTCAAAGTCGTATTCCTGCAGTAGTTCAATCCACCTCGCAACTTGTCCTTCTGGATTTTTAAACTGCAATAGCCATTTTAGTGCAGCATGGTCAGTTCGTAAGTGAAATTTCCGCCCCAGAAGATATTTGCTAAAATGCTGCAATGACTTTACCACAGCTAGCAATTCGCGTCTTGTGACACAATAGTTCCTTTCCGGTTTTGACAATGACTTGCTGAAGTACGCTATCACGACCTCTTGGTCACCATTCCGTTGAGACAACACACCGCCAAGTCCTATATCACTTGCGTCTGTGTCAACTATAAATTCTTTGCTTGCATCAGGGTATCCCAAAATAGGTGTTTTGCACAGACGGTCCTTGAGCTCCTGGAATGCGATATTACAACTTTCATCCCAGCAGAAATGTCGCTTCTCCTCGGTTAGCTTATGCAGAGGTTTGGCTATATCTGCAAAGTTCTTCACAAATCGCCGGTAATAGGAGCACAAACCCAAAAATGCTCTAACCTGCGTCTTGTCTTTTGGAACCTGCCAATCCTTTACAGCTGCGATTTTCTCTGGATCCGTGCGGATACCTTCTTCCGACACTACATACCCCAAAATGCTGGATGCCGTCGATGAATGTCTGCACCAGGTTCCCTTCAATGAGCGCAGGTACAGACTGGTATGCTTTTCGAACCATCTTCTCCACCTCAAGTGCCCACTGCTGCAGGTTTTCGTTGCTGCGTTGCACACGATCTTTAAGCTGCGCGCGAAAGACGTGTTCCAGGTGAGCGTCACCATATCTCGCCTCCAATGCCTCAAGGAGCTGCTCGTAGGTCACTTTCTTACCGGGCTAATTGGCGATGCCTGTCTGGTCTACTTGGATGACATCATCATCGTGGGCCGTACGTTTGAGGAACACCTTGAAAACCTGGGACGCGTGCTCAAGAAGATTCAGAGTGCCAATCTCAAGCTGAGTCCGAAGAAATGTTCACTATTCAAACGGCAAGTCAACTTTTTGGGGTATGTAGTGTCGGAAGAAGGTATCCGCACGGATCCAGAGAAAATCGCAGCTGTAAAGGATTGGCCGGTTCCAAAAGACAAGACGCAGGTTAGAGCATTTTTGGGTTTGTGCTCCTATTACCGGCGATTTGTGAAGAACCGGCCAATCCTTTACAGCTGCGATTTTCTCTGGATCCGTGCGGATACCTTCTTCCGACACTACATACCCCAAAAAGTTGAAATTGACCCTAAGGACAAGGAGAAAACTGCGTTCTCGGCGGGAAAGGGTCTGTGGCAATTTAAAGTAATGCCGTTTGGGTTGTGCAATGCTCCAGCAACGTTTGAAAGGCTGATGGAACTTGTACTTACCGGGCTATTTGGCGATAGCACGTGAAAAGGAAGTGGAAACCATGATTGAGGGAATGGTGAGGGAAGCCAGTCGACCAAGCTGGTTAATGAATGTTGGTTCTCCGCACGTCAGTTAAGTGCGCTTCTCAATCCCACTTCTGACACCAATTGTTACGAGCTTGAGGTTCGTGACAATAAAAATTGCCGATAAAATTACCTAAATTAACACTTTAATTTACTTTACACAAATTAAAACTTAAAACACTAATAATTAAACACACTAATTCACTTTATTCCGCTCCGAAGCTTCGCTTGTCTCGCCAAATCCAATACTGCCTCGATCGCATCTTGCAGCGCCTATTTATATAAATTAGCAAAGAAATATCCAGAATGTTCAAGTAAACATACGCAAGGTACCGAGAGTTCGAGTTTTAAACTTCAAGAAGTTTAGTTCTTCGATTCGAGACTAGATGGCGCTAGTGCCGTCGACTTGAGCGCGTATTATTACGGTACTATGTACTACAAACTATGAAATAATGGTACAATCAGGATAATTCTACTACGAAATCCGACCCTGGTTACGTCGTATTATGATATGACGTTTGTATTATGACAGATGCGCTTTTTTTTCTTATATGAAAAAGTTATGAGTAAAATATTTAGATGGGCCTATCCTTTCTTTTGAAATCATTGCATATAATTTGAAATTGTTACATTTAGTAGTGCCCGTATGGTGGTCACCTAAACGAAAACAATACTCTATCCATCACTGCCGGCGTTAATTAATATCTCGTGGAGTCGTAAGAGCTGACAGTGGAATATATTTTATAGAATAAGGGTGACAAACGAGCACAAAGTCCACCTGATGGTAAGTTGTTACTGCGGCCCATAGACATCTACATTTATCCTCGATTACGAATCAAAATGCAGATGCGTTGTCACCCGTGAGGACTAAGATGGAATGCCTTATTTCCATTAAAAAGGGTCTCCGGTTCTCTACACTCACCATACGCAACACAGAGCTGGTATTTTGTGAGATCGTGGTCCCTTCCCGGTCGAGCCGACCTGTTTGTGCTTCAACTTTACTACTAATATACCTGCAACATGGCTCTACCACGTATACGCCAAAAAGATCTCATGGCTTCCTATAGATGGCCGTATATATAAGATTCTTTTTCGGCTTTTACTTTTTTATTAAAAATATATTTTTTAACTTCTTTTTTCAGCAACGGCCTTCAAAACTTTGATCCTTTCGATGAACAGAAGGAGAGATCCTTTCAGAATAGCTTAGAGCCAATGTGCGTGGTCGCCGAGAAGTTAACGACAATGCTGCAAAATGGTGACAAGGATAAGAGAAAAGCGGACTTTGTTACATTGCTCAAGGTATACCTGACTTAACGACTTGGTGGTACAGTAGAGCTACGCTATTTTTCAATTTACCGTCTGAAGAAAAAAAAAATAGGGCGTAACGGGTGAATAGAGTAGAAGCCTATGGCACTGATATTTTACAAAAATAAAACAAAAAGGACATTGTTCGGCGTCCATACATTGTTGGCCCTAAGAACCAACAGTGAAGTGAATTCACTTTTTGTGTTTTAAACAATGTATATATATTCGATTGAAACTAAATTCAAACTACGAACACTTCTGAGAATTCTAAAAAAAGTCAAAACATTTTCAGATTTTGAGGTTATAATTAGGTTAATATAGGGTCAGTAGAAACACACGGTAAAAATGGCCTATGAACATTGAAGTAATATGTACTTACGTACTAGGACAGCTATTTCAAACCAAAAAATGTGCGCTACTCTGTGTTCGCGCGGTTGGTTTTCTTATCATAGAATAAACATAGGTAGAATGATCAGTAGGTAATAAAAGCTTGTACTGTTAAATACGTAAATTATATCGAGAACAATTTTTTAAATTTTGTCATTTATTTTGTATATTATTATATTTGCTTATTTAATATAATATTATGTCACAATTACATTTTAATGATATTTTTATCTCAATATTTTAAAAGGTATCTATCTCAAATATAAAAAAACATACTAAATATATGTTTAACAAAACTTGTTAATATAACATTTAAATTACAAATATATGTTTTTAAATTAGAATAAGAGCCGTTCATAAATACTGGGCACGCGAGGGTTAAAAATTGACGAATTTATTCCACTTTGACTTTGATGTGGAAACCTAAAAATAAAATATAAGAATAATTAGTAGATTTAAATATAAAAAATTTGGCCTCATTATGATAACTCATATGTTTCTACAAAAAAATGTGTATAATAATATATTCGTTATATAGTTATATATAGTACCCACAGAATAATATAACCCAAATGACATAAAAAATTTAACGAATACTACACTATTTTTATCCAAATTAAAGTTATATTTAATTGAAAAATGTTTCTATAATTTAAATGAATATTTTGATACAAATATTATTTAATTTATGTCGACAACTTCGGCCTGTGCCTATCTAATTTAATTTAATTTTGTTATTCAATTGTTATTTTTTACTTAATTGTATTTTTACTTATAATAATAATAATTACTTTTTACTTGACATTGTGATTATGAATTAAATTAAATTTACAGAATTTTAAAATAATATAATCTAATAATGTAATGTATTAATAAAATCTAATATTGTACTTTAAAAATAATAATTTAATATTTTTATAATTGCTACGCCCAAACTGGGTTCAAATGCGGACTTTTTTTAAACATAACATCTATTGTAACCATTTGATTGCAATAAAGACTATGACTATGACTATGACTATGAAATGTCGCATCTGAACAAATTAATTTCATAATCTATATTACGTGACACAAGATGGCGTCTTAGGAATAATTTGTTTTATTACTAATTTATAATACTTTTTTTTAATTGATTAAGTATCTTATTAACCAATGAAAAGTAATTCCTTGGTTTTTACTGACATTTCTTGAATTATTTGTGCAATATCTAAGTACGCACGACGGCATATTTTTATCACGAGATTTTTTTTTAAATCAACACAACACGTGTCAACTCTACAAGCGCCTAGCGAGTGACTGATTAAAGTGCAGTGTATGCACCGCAGTTATATGGAACAGAGTAGCTGAATGCAGTGTCGCCTCTAGTACGTAGTACATATTAGCTCAATGCCTATGAATCAATACGCGTGAAACCTTTACAATAATTACTCTTTTTTTAAAATAATTTATATTACAATTATTTCAATAGAACGGACACTTTATAATTTCGAAAACATTTTAAAAAGTAATTCACTTTCGTCTTATTTCCCGGTGTTATTATTTTTTGGTTAATTTGAGGTTTTTAATAGGCGAAGGTATTGTGACTCATACAGTCAAGTCTTTATGTAAGAGTTTAATATAGACAAGCGTTACAAAATTAGAAACAAAAAGAATACTAAAAAAATTCAAACCAATTTCACAGGGTGCGTGAGCCGTGCGAGTGGCACTATTATCAAATGTTAAATGTTGTAATTTGTCAATTCATCCACCATCAGTGTTAATGTTGCTCGTTTTCGCTTTATTCTGCTTGTAACTAAAACCCTTATTCATAGATCAAACGCTGAGAAAACTGAGTTTTGTAACGTCACAAAAACTTGATCTCAAGCTCGATCGGGTAGGACCACGCTCTTACAGAATACCAGCGTAAAATAGCTTAATGCTGCTGTGTTTTGTATGGTGAATTAGATAATCTTATTTTAAAGGATATCGTTTTAACACAAACTGTACCGTATACGTGGTAGAGCCATGCTGCAGATATATTATCGTTGTAACACGAGTGGGTCGGCTCGATCGGTATAGGACCACGCTCTCACAGAATACCGGCGTCAAATAGCAGTTTAATGCTGCTGCTGTATTTTGTATGATGAGTGTGGAGATCCGGAGACCTTTTTACTGGATGCGAGGCATTCCATCTTAGTCCTCAGGGGTGATAACGCTAGCAATAATCAAAACGCATCTGAGTTTTGATTCTTTATTAAGGATACACATGTGGATGTCTATGGGCCCCAGCAAGCACTTACCATCAGGTTGACAATAAACTTTACAAAGAAATTAAAGAGGATATTCCTAGTAAAGCTTAAAAAAAATCAGTCCTCCAGACCGAATTTCGGTCACGGCGGCCTGCCTCAACGGAGACTAGCCATCGGTGCAGGACAGGATTATAGTGCACAGGTGCACTTTCTATTCCCTCACTCTAATAGTCCAATAGGACGGTAAACCGACACGACCGGAGAGAGATCAAGCGCAACGGCTTTATGTGCTTTCCGAGGCACGGGAGTGAGACACCGCCAACTTCCTGACTCCTGGCAGCTACTGAGAATTTCTTGACGGAAAAATTATAATTAATTTTTTGGCCCGACCCGGAATTAGAACCCAGTACCTCATGATCAGCCGTCGTACTACCACAACCACTAGACCAACGAGGCAGTCAAATTGGCGATATATTGAAGATGCGACCAATTAAAAGTATTCTTAACAGACAAGCATGCATGAGTAAATAACTAATTACAAGTAAAATAAATCCTTTCTTTTAGTGATCTTATTGTCTTGTAGCGGCGCTGTCGTCGCGCCACAAGCGAAAACACACCGAAGCCTAAATCGCGCTATCAACATTCCGAATCATAAACAGTATATATAGAACTTCTCCGAACTATCACATGGAGTGTGAGCCGCTCCCCGGGCAGAACACCTTGCCCGGCGGGAGATCTCCCCTTTTCCTACCACGGCCACAGTGGTGACCCCGACGTGATCTGAACACGCAACCGACAACCTTCGGAAACTTCAAGCTTCACCATCGTCATTGAATACCTCACCCATTCGCTCCCGAGCAGATATCGTCTGCAGTCTTCATATCCTGCAAGCCAGCTAGCTTCACAAGGTTCATCGCAGCACTAGAATAATAATGCTTCCTGTTCCTTCAAGCTACTCTCTGCGCTATACAGTGTTCGGCACGGCTCTGAGCCTTACTGCTCGCCTCTGCTTCACGGCACTCTCGCAGATTACTTGCCTTCTTCTCGACTCACCGCAGACTACAAGGCAATCTCCTGGCACTTGCACATTCGTTTTCAATGAGGCTGCACTATCGACCTCCGGTCTGAGCAGGGGGGTGATGTAGCGGCGCTGTCGTCGCCGCCACAAGCGAAAACACACCGAAGCCTAAATCGCGCTATCAACATTCCGAATCATAAACAGTATATATAGAACTTCTCCGAACTATCACATGGAGTGTGAGCCGCTCCCCGGGCAGAACACCTTGCCCGGCGGGAGATCTCCCCTTTTCCTACCACGGCCACAATCTTTAAAATAATTTTTTTGTGTATTTATAGATTTGTTTATGGGCGAACAAATGCGACCTTTCCTTGTCTATGGGCGAGCAAGTGTCTTTAAAATCGGACGTGCTAAACAACGATGCTAATAAAACTACTACCCCGTGTATGGGTACCATTGATCCGTTTCAAATGATTTTGGACTTAAAGGATAAGGTAATACGGATTGTAATTTCTTAATGTAAAGAGCGATATTTAAGATTTTCGGAGACAGTGAAAAGTTGTTTATAGAGTTATGTTTAGCAGATTTTTTTGCTGTGACTGAGTTTTTTTTTGTATCAATGTTATCTTTGTAAACTGTGAACTGATTTTGATAATTTTTTAATATAAATAGTTATAGATAAATTTATACTAAAAATATAATAGGGGTGAATTTGCAATGAAACTTTATAAAACCATGAGGTTGTGATATTTCTTAGTCAACTCAAAGGGGTAAAAGAACCTTTAAAAAATATACGATTTCAAAGAACTAAAGATTACAATAACTTGAATTCTGAAGCGAAAATTTAAATTTCATGCGTAAATATTCTAAAACTACAACTATCTGTATTAATAAAAAATAAAAAATACGTGTGGCACTCGGTGACTACCGCGGTAGAGCTATTGCATAGCATTTTATATCAACTTATGCAATTATAATTATTTATTTAATTTATTTTTGCAGTTAAGTCTTTGATATTTAATCAAGTTACACTTTTTGAGCGTGGTGACCGATAAGAAAACAATTTTTTTTCTCTTATTGAATAAATGAGAAGTTAATATTGTTTAAAATATTTTTAATATCTTACAATACATGTGGGTTATTCAGGAATTTTTATCATTGAGTTAGCAGCTAGTGTACACACACACAAACACCGTGCCGAAGTCTGCCGAACTAAAACGACGTTAGACGATGCACGGCTTTCAACGCCACACCTGAATTTCTGGATTCGGTCTCCGCGCTCAAGGCCCGCGATAGAAGCTATGCAATAGCTTAAAAATATAAATTTCCTCGCAACCTTCCGCTAAATAAATACAATGATGTGTCTTACCTGGATTGTGTTGTGTAGACTCTACGGCGGCTGACCGCTAGCTTAGCGTAGAGTCTACATCACCTGAAGACGCCTCGTGTGGAGGCGAAACACATGTCGTATTATCGTCGATGGTGTGTCTTTCCTGGAATAGTGGTGTTGGGAGTGGTGGTGCTGGGACTAGTGGTGACGGAGTTAGTGCATGTAATTGAATTGAAGGAGGGCGGGAGGTGCTCTTCAATCCAGGTAAGACACATCATTGTATTTATTTAGCGGAAGGTTGCGAGGAAATTTATATTTTTATTTTTTATTATAATGGATTTCCGCAAAGTAACGCCTGATTCTATCAATTACCTGTATTAAATTCATCAATCGAATCAAATGTGTTGTTTTGATGTAAATCAAATGTGTTTTGTTCAGTGTAGGAGACCGCCTTGGTTAATACCACGCTGTCTTCTAAAATAATGGATCATCATCATGGTAGAGCCATGCTGCAGCCATATTGTAGTTGCAACACGAGTGAATCGGCTCGACCGGGGAAGGACCACGCTCTCACACAATACCAACGTTAAATAATAGCTTTATGCTGCTGTGTTTCGTATGGTGAGCGTAGAGAATCGGAGAACCGTTTTACTGAAAACGAGGCATTCCATCTCTGTCCTCAGGGGTGACAACGAATCTGCGTTTTGAATTTATTAATTAAAGATAAATGTAGATGTCTATGAGCCACAGCATCCACTTACCATCGGCTGGACTGTGTGCTCGTTTGTCACTCTTATACTATAAAAAATATCTCACATCATCATCGTTACCACCACTACCACCACCACCACTACCACCACCACCACCACCACCACCACCACCACCACCACCACCACCACCACCACCTCCACCACGCCGACGAGTTTCGATACCGTATATGTGCAGGACAGGACTATAATGCATGAATGTATGCGCAACCACCAATGCAATATATCCCATCATATATATATATATATATATATATATATATATATATATATATATATATATATATATATATATATATATATATATATATATTACATAGATATGGTAATTCGACACGACCGCATAGAGATCGGGGACAGGACCAACGGCTTTACGTGCTTTCCGTGGCACGTTCCGAGGGTGAAACACCGCCAACTAACTTACACTAGGCTGCTAATGAGAATTTCTTGACAGCCCAATAAGATATTGAAGATGAAACCCAGAATTAGCAACCATGGCTACGACCACTAGACCAACAAGGCAGTCGTGTCGTGTGACCTAAGCAAATATATTTGCAGAAACAGGGTGACAGACATTGTCCAACGGATCAGTAAGCCAAAGTACCAATGCAAATTCTTGTGTGGTAGCCTTGTACAAAATAGCGCAGAGTTGGGTAATTGGTTGGAGTGATCCTCGTCGACATGCAGGAATCGATGGATTCAGGTGGCTCAGGACCTTGTTGCAATCTGTGGGGGAGTCCTAGGTTCAGCATTGAACTTGTGATAGGCTATTCTGATATGGACGTCCAAAGTGCTTACATATGTTATATTGTTGTTTCAGGTGTTGGTCGATGAATCTAGTAAAATATACGACCGAGTCATCGCGAAGGCCGAGGTCATGGCGAAAGCTATATCGGCGGTGAGTTGACTATAATTATATTGTTACGAGCTTAGGGTTCGTGACAATAAAACCTGCCGATTTAATTACCAATATTGACACTTTAATTACCGAACACCTATTAAAACTTAAACACACTGATAATTAATCACACTTAACACTTTAGTTCCCTTTATTTCGCTCCGAAATCTTCGCTTGTGTCGCCAATTCAATACTGGCCCGGTCGCGGTCCTCAACGCCTTTATATAGGACCTTTTCTACTGAAACATCCAGAATGCTCGAGCACATACCGGTCCCGATTGATTAGGTGTAGAAAGTTCTCTGTCAGTTCCGCGACTCGATACTAGATGGCGCTAGTGGGAAAGTTCTAGCATGGAACTTTATAGAAAGCTGTCCTCGCTCTGCTATCCGACACTAGATGGCGCTGGTGGCATTAATTTTAGCTTGCAACAATGTTTACTTGTTTAATCATGTAGTTGCGGTGTAAGAATATCCTTATCTTCCTGTGCGTGACGTAAGTGGAGACATGGAGAAATTGAAATAAGAACCCGCCAACCTAGGTAAGTCCAACTTCGACCGAGAGGTCAATCGACGGATGGAATTCGATTGGGCAGCGTTCGGGAGATTACGACACATCTCGTCACGTATACCTCAAAACCTAAAAACGAGACTGTACAACCAGTGCCTGTTGCCAGTGATGATTAAGGATCTGAGACGTGGGTATGACGACGCTCAAGGTTGCTCAGCGAGCTGTGGAGAGGGCTATGCTCGGGTTTCTCTGCGTGATAAACTTAATTACAGCCCTTCACAAGTCCACTGCTGAACATAGGCCTCCCCCAAGTAATGCCACAAAACGGTCCTGAGCCACCTGCATCCATCGACTTCCTGCATGTCTTACTAGGTCGTCACTCCATCTAGTGAGGGGTCGCCCTACACTACGCCTACCGGTACGAGGCTGCCACTCGAGAACCTTTCTTCCCCATCGGTTATCGGTTCTTCGAGCTATATGGCCGGCCCATTGCCACTTCAGCTTACTAATCCGTTGGGCTATGTCGGTCACTCTGGTTTCACTGCGGATATCCTCATTTCTGAGTCTATCACGCAGTGAAACTCCGAGCATAGCCCTCTCCATAGCTCGCTGAGCGACCTTGAGCGTCCTTATACGGCCAGCGGTGAAGGACCACGTCTCAGATCCGTAAGTCATCACTGGCAACACGCACTGGTTATACACTTTAGTTTTCAGAGATTGAGGTATACCTGACGAGAAGATGTGTCGTAATTTCCCGAACGCTGCCCAGCCGAGTTGAATCCGTCGATTGACCTCTCGGTCGAAGTTGGACTTACCTAGTCGGACTATTTGTCCCAGGTAAACGTACTCGTCAACAACTTCGAGCATAGTGCTCCCAACAACTACCGGCATAGGTGTGACATGGACATTAAACATGATCTTTGTTTTGTCCATGTTCATCTTAAGACCTATCCGTTGGGAGACACCATTGAGGTCATTGAGCATAGTGCTAAGGTCCTCCAGCGATTCTGCCATAAGGACTATATCGTCGGCAAATCGAAGGTGAGTGATGTACTCGCCATTGATGTTAATACCGTATCCTTTCCAGTCCAGTAGCTTGAAAACGTCTTCCAACGCAGCTGTGAAGAGTTTCGGGGAAATAACGTCACCCTGTCTTACACCTCTCTGCAGTTGGATAGGTTTCGTACTCTGGTTCTGTACTCGGATAGCCATCGTAGCCCTACTGTACAAACACTTCAGCACTTCAATATACCGACAGTCAACTAGGCACCGCTGAAGAGACTGTAGCACCGCCCAAATTTCGACGGAATCAAAGGCTTTCTCATAGTCCACATACGCCAGGCAAAGTGGCAGATTGTACTCATCGGACTTCTGTACAATTTGCCGAAGGGTATGTATGTGGTCTATGGTACTGAAGCCTTTTCGGAAACCGGCTTGTTCGGGAGGCTGGAAGTCGTCGAGTCTACGTGCGAGACGATTCGTAATGACTCTCGAAAACAGCACGTAGACGCGGCTCAGAAGGGAAATCGGTCTGTAGTTCTTCAAGAGAGCGTTGTCGCCTTTCTTAAAGAACAAGACCACCGCGCTTCTGCTCCACGCCTCCGGAGTAGTGCCACCATGGAGGACGGAATTGAAGAGCTTCTGAAGGACTTCAAGTACCGGTGTTCCACCCGCTTTCAGAAGCTCCGCTGTAATTCCATCCTCGCCCGGGGCCTTGCCGTTTTTAAGGTGGTGGAGAGCCATTCTAATCTCGCTCAGACTGACGTCCGGGATATCATCGGAATAGTGTCGGATAAGACTTGCTCTTGGATCGTTACTCACACTTGCGTGTGGCTCCAACGATGATGTGTACAGCTGCCCATAGAACTTCTCAATCTCACTCAGAATCTCAGGTGTCCCGGAAACGATGTTGACACACTCAGTCTTCAGCCTTGACAGTTGGCTCTTTCTGGCAGACAGATCTCTGGCAAAGACTTTGGAGCCTTGGTTCCGCTCGATCGCTTCTTTAATACGAGCAGTATTAAAGTTGCGTAAGTCTCGCCGCATGCATTTGGAGATCTGTCTGTTCAGTTGCCTGTATGCTGTGAAATCTGTTGACGATTGCAGCCTCATCTCCCGTCTAACAGCCATGAGATTAAGAGTGTGATCGGAGAGTTTTTGTGTTCTTCTGCGGCGGGTCTTGCAGAACTTAGCTCCGACCGCATGGACAGTTTCCACGAGCTTGTCATTCATATCGTCCACTGCATTGCAATCCTCTAGGCACTGAAAGCGGTTTTGTAACTCGAGCTGAAAGGTTTGGGAATTTTGGATTAGAGCACGAGGGGGACGGAGCGTTGACTTCATTAGACGAGACCTCTCCAACTTAACGTTTAGGTTCAGTGTGCCTCTAACCATTCGGTGATCGCTGCCAGTTTTCACCCTTGCGATCACTGAGACATCACTGAACAGTTGGCGTCTGGTCGTCATAATGAAGTCAATCTCACTTTTTGTAGAACAGTCGGGGCTCGACCAGGTCCATTTCCTGTGGGGCCGCTTCTGGAAGAAAGAGTTCATCATAAAGAGTCCCTCTTTCTCCATAAAGTCGGCCAGCTGCTGGCCCCTTCGGTTCCGTTGCCCTACTCCAAACTTCCCCACCTTCAGCTCACCGCTTTCTCTTGTGCCTAGTTTTGCGTTGAAGTCTCCCATCAACACCGTGTAGTGGGTTTTGGAGGAATGCATGGCTCTGGAAATATCCTCAAACATTTCATCCACCATCGGGATGTGCCGAGGTTGGTGCGTAAACCTGTATGACCTTCAGCGAATACCGTTTGGTGATTCTGAGTATCAGGTACGCGACCCTCGTCGACACGCTCCCAATCTTTACAACGTTTTTGACTAGAGACTTGTGGACGATAAATCCGACACCTCCTTGGGACAGATGGTCGCCCTCCCGGTGGTAGAACAAGTTGCCGGACTCGAGGATTGCCGTATCCTCCCCCTCTCTTCGGACCTCGGATAATCCAATAATATGCCAGCGCAACTTGTCTACCTCTTCTTCCAGCTCCAGTATCTTCTCGTCAGTCCTCAGGGTGCGTGCGTTAAATGTTGCCAGGTCGAGTCGTCGTAGGTGGTAACCGAACCCACCGGAGATTCTTAGCACCCCCTGCCCCGCCGTTACCATGGTCGCCACCGTAGCCAGGAATAGCGGGGCCGCCGGGGACTGGGGGCCGTTTTTTTTGCGTCGTTATTCATGGGGGGATATTTGCCATAGTTGCCACGCTTGGCTAACGGGTTGGCAACCGCAGTTTTGTATTATAACACAGTTGTTATCAGGAAGATGCTGCTGCCCATCTCCTGCCTGTTTCCCTCTGTCGCCTCTTACGACACCCACGGGAAGATATGGGGTAGTGGATATTCTCAACCGCCACTACACGGCAACAAGCGTGAAGTTATGCATGTATGTAATAATTAGAATACGTTGTCGCCCCCTCACGATGTTTAGGTTTGTTTAGTCCTGCGTAAACACACCCAAATATACTAAAAATTTCTACATATTTCAGAATACAACATTCAAGTATAAATGTAGTTGTCACCGACTGGCAACACTTAGTGGGATACCCTTGTGCCCTGAGAAGGTTTAGCCCTTTCGCGTTTATAAGTTTTAATTGTTTTTTTTTTCGTAAACTGTAGCAATGACGTTATTAAAACCCCTTAGAACTTAGAGACATGACATTGAAGTTTAGTTTAGTTTAGTTTTTAGTAGTATTTAATCAGTTGAAACGGTTTATGAACCCTTATCCCCTTTCTTATTTGTGTATATAATCAGTCATTGTTTTGAGGAGTACAAATATAGAGAGCGAGCATATAGAGTTAGATATATAGACAGCCAGACTTTCAGACATCTTTAGCCCTGCGTGGTGGGTGACAACACACCTGTATGACTTCAGGTTAAGCTTGTATGGTATGGTATTAAGTACTTCAATGTTATTACATAGTAGTAACTAGTGACTTAGAATGTAAATTGAAGTAGTTAAAATTTTTAGATAAATTAAATCCGATTAACTCTGTAATGTAGTTTTATTATTAAAAATCATAACTTAGAACTAGAAGACTATTCACTGTAGATCTTTCTTGCTCTAGGAACCGGAAGTGCAAAGCGTGAGTAGCGAAAAGGGATCCCCCACGGCATCCCCACCAGTGGAAGAAGAAACCAAAGAAGGGGAGGAACTCCCAAAAATTCCTTGTCCATCGAAAATGACCACACCTGATGCTGTTATGTTTGGTAATTTCATTTTTATTGTATTAATAACATATGCATATCTAATAAGCTGACATGTATTAATAAAATTTGATATAAAAATTAAGCGACAGTACCCTAATGGTATGGTGCGGGCCGAGAACTCAAAAAGTCGTGGGTTCGAATCCGCTATTTGACTACTGTCTTGAACCACTTCTAACACAATAACCACTTCTAACACTATAACCGGAGACTCTTTTTACTGGAAACGAGGCATTTCGTCTTAGTCCTCACGGGTGACAATGCATTTGCATTTTGATTCGTAATCGAGGATAGATGTAGATGTCTATGGGCCACAGCAACCACTTACCATCAGGTGGACTGTGTGCTCGTTTGTTACACTTATACTATAAAAAAATTAAATCTCTATATTAGATATTTAATTCTAGACATACTCGTCGGTTGTAGGCATACATGCTCGTCGGTTAAGGAGTACCCTTAACCGACGAGGATGTATGCGTGGGTGTATGGATGTGGATGAGGCGAGAGAGATGTGTCAGGATCATGCTAAATGGAAGTCTGTAGTCTCTGTCTATCCCTCTGGGTGGCAGGCGTGATTATTTATGTATGTATGTATGAAAATGTAGACAGAATTTGCCATAATCGCCTCGTTAGCCAAATTGGCAATCGCGGAACCACGTGACGCCTGTGAGAAATATTTTATATTATAGTAATAAATAATTTATACTTATGAATATTAATTAGTTTTACTTCAACGGCACGTGAAGGTTGCAAGCACAAAAACATTACTATCACAAATTTAACAAATAAAACCAATTTAAATAATACTAGTTTTTACGGATTTTATCGCATATATTTAACTATAAATACCCGACGATACCATATATGGTAACCGCTGTTAACTATGACATCTGGACGTTGAACATCTCAGTCCCCCCGTGACCATGGGTGCTGTAAAGCGCTCGAAACGTCGGGTATTTATAGTTAAATATATGCGATAAAATCCGTAAAAACTAGTATTATTTAAATGTGTAGTGTTCGCGTAAATATAAGAAATCATTAAATAAAACCAATGTTCAGATATCCTACACTCAATAACGTACATTTCTAATGTATTTTTTACAGATATTGTATGTGACAACGCCGGCTACGAGTTATTCTCGGACTTGTGCCTAGCACATTTCCTAATAGCACAAGAAATTGTTCAGAAAGTAAGTGGTCTTCTTTATATTTATTTGATAAGATTTTTTAAAGTTGTTTCTTTTCTATAATTTTAGCTGCCCACACTGTTTAGCATATTTCTCTTTAGTTGAGAGGGCTTGTGGATTAAGGCAAAGATTATAATCAATAGAAATAAAATATTAAAAAAATAAAAGAAAATCTACAAGAAAAAACCTTCCTAAACCACCACCCCGTTAAAATTAAATAGATCTTAAATGGTGTAATACCATCTCAAATATGTCAAACCTATAATATCCAGGTCTGTAATGTATAGTATCCCAAACGGGTATGGTATTCTGATGAAATGCTATAATTATATTTTTGCTATTTTCAGGTTCGATTCCATGTAAAGAAGATACCTTGGTTTGTTTCTGATGTAACTCCAAATGACTTCAAGTGAGTAAACAAATTATTTTTAACCAAGTAATTGTATCATCCCACAATCGAACACAACCGTTACAATATATTGAAGATCTACTACTGAACATGGCTCATCTACTGAATATGAGAGGATGGTTTTTTTTTTGTAGGAGAAGGAGCAAACGAGCATGCGGCTCACCTGGTGGTAAGTGAACCACTGCAACATCAGGGGACCTGCTATAGGTGCGTTGCTGGCCTTTTAGAAAGGAGTAAGTTCTTTTCTTGAAGGTTTAAGAGAAACCATCTTAAAAATTAAAAAAAAAAACGACATTAGATTTTATATATTTAGATTTATAAATGAAATCTGACAGTGGTCAGATTTAACTACCAATGTACAGCGCGTCTTGCGGTCGTGTGTGTATTTAATAATACGCTTTGGAATAGAAAACTTAATCGTCTTATATAGATACGATTAAGTTAGTTATTCAATAAACCCGTATAGTAGGTACTTCACAAAAGTGCTGGCAACATTATTTGTATGTTTGACATGTGTCAATTTAGGATATGTTCCGAAATACAACACAGTACACTGTCGAATGCGAATGACGTCATTAATTGACGTCGTATTCCACCACATTTGATACAACGTATCACCAATATGGCGTCGATTTATGACGTCATTCGCATTCGACAGTGTACTGTGTTGTATTTCGGAACATACCCTTAGTCTCAGAGATAAATGAAATAGACTTTAGTTTGTAAAATGCGTGGGATTTGCGTTTAACGTTATAGTGTTGTGAGGAGAAAAGTGTATCGTGTATTGATTTTTTGTAATCACGATCCAAATTGCCTTATGGGCGGAATGCGTATCGCATTATCGATGTTTTTCGTCGACTCAAACAGTTGACTTCGAGGCTTAGGGTTTGGGGACGTGCGGATCTTACCAATTAACTTATGGCTGTGGAAGGAAAAACGAAGATCTTCCGCCGGGCAAAGTGTCCAATCCAGGGAGCGCAGCACAGAGCTATTTATATGTATAAAAACCGTCCTCCAGACCGAATTTCGGCCACGGCGGCCTCAACGAAGACTAGCCATTGGCGCGGGACAGGATTATAGTGCCCAAGTGTATGTGCAAGAACAGAGCACTCTTTATTCCCTCACTTTCATAATCCGATGGGACGGTAAACCGACACGACCGGAGAGATCAGGCGCAGAACCAACGGCTTTACGTGTTTTCCGAGGCACGGGGGTGAGGAGACACCGCCAACTTCCTGACTCCGGGCAGCTACTGAGAATTTCTTGACGGAAAAACTCAATAATTGATTCTATTGGCCCGATCCGGCATTCGAACCCAGGACCTCATGATCAGCAATCGCACTACTACAACCACTAGACCAACGAAGCAGTATATATATATATATATATATATATATATATAAAAAAAAAAAAAAAATATATATATACTGCTATATAGTAGTCTATATATACCGCAGTGCGTGGGAACTTTGATAGCGAGATTTAGGCTACGGTGCGATTCGCTTGTGACACGACGACAGCGCCGTCACAAACTTATATCCTTGTTCATAAACTTTGAAGTATTCTAAAAATTTTCGTTTTTTTTTCAGATATGTCATAGAATCTTGCAGAACTGCAGATTACAAAAAAGAAATGGCGCTAGAAATTCAACCAGGTAAGTGCATATTTTTAACAATTTATTTTATATAATAAGGGTGACAAACGAGCACACAGTTCACCTGATGGTAAGTGGTTGCTGTGTCCACCAGTGGTGGTAAGAATCAAAACGCAGATGCGTTGGCGTTGTCACTTCTGAGGACTAAGGTGGAATGCCTCGTTTCCAATAAAAAGGGTCTCCGGATCTCTACACTCACCGTACGAAACACAGCAGTATTAAGTTGCTATTTTAAGCTGGTATTTTGTAAGAACGTGGTCCTTACCCGGTCGAGCCAACCCATTCGTGCTTCTACCATAATATAGCTGCAGCTTGGCTCTACCAAGTAAGAACAAAACATCAATAAAGTTATTCATTATCTTATAATATAGATATATGATGATAGAAAACTAGTAGTTGTGGATAAGAAATCATCCATCCACAACTACTCCATGATACAGTTCTAATCATTGTTCGAGTGAATTAAAATACAGCTATTCGAATTTAACCTTCTAAAGTAGTTTCTTAATGAGGACTTTTTACGTCTACGGACTATCTTACGTTCACTACATTTTTTTACGTGGTAGAGCTATGCTGCGGTTTTATTAGTAGTATAGTTGTAGCACGAGTGGGTCGGCTCGACCGGAGAAGGACCACGCTCTCACAGAATACCAGCATTAAATAGTAGCTTAATGCTGCTGTGTTTCGTATGGCGAGTGTAGAGAAACGGTGACCCTTTTTTTTATAGAATAAGGTGACAAACGAGCACACAGTCCACCTGATGGTAAGTGGTTGCTGCGGCCCATAGACATCTACATCTATCCTCCATTAAAAATCAAAATGCAGATGCGTTGTCACCCGTGAGGACTGAGATGGAATGCCTCGTTTCCAGTAAAAAGGGTCTCCGGTTCTCTACACTCACCATACGAAACACAGCAGCATCAAGCTACTATTTCACGCTGGTATTCTGTGAGAGCGTGGTCCTTCCCCGGTCGAGCCGACCCATTCGTGCTACAACTATACTACTAATATAACTGCAGCATGGCTCTACCACGTAAAACGTACTTTTTACTGGAAACGAGGCATTCCACCTTAGTACTCACGGGTGACAATGCATCTGCATTTTGATTCGTAATCGAGGATAGATGTAGATGTCTATGGGCCGTAGCAGCCACTTACCATCAAGTGGACTGTGTGCTAGATTGTCACCCTATCCTATAAAAAAATCGCCAGATGTTGCTAGTCGAACTGAAGTAAACTTATTTGTGACCTAGATGGTTTTTCTATTTCTAGTGTATGTATATAACTAAACAATGCTTCAGTGGTTTGTTTAACTTTTTACACATTTTTAACTTTTATTCAATTCTTCTACTATTAGGAATATACGTAGTTAGTTTTATTAACATACATAAACACTCACGCCTGTCACCCAGAGGGGTAGGCAGAGACTAGAGACTTCCATTTGGCACGATCCTGACACACCTCTCTCGCCTCCTCCACATCCATATACTTACGAATACATTGTCATCAGTTAAGGGTACTCCTAATTTGACCAGTTTTCAATATATTAGTTTTATTAATTTGTAATATAATTAATACAAAAAATAACTAATATTTCTAAAAGACATTAATTTTTACACTTTTCAACCATTGAACTTCTCCGTCGTGAGATGTTTAAAATATTTTAAATCATTGTAAGTGGCGCCGCTTTGATGACAAAAAGTTTGGAAAAAAGGGTTTCCAAACTTTTTTATATATGCTCTGTTTGTTTAGAAACTCAGAACTTTTTTCTAGGTGAACCGATTTTGATGATACTTTTTATTTGAAAGCTGGTGCTTCTCATGTAGGTACCGTATAAATTTTAATAAGACCTGACGAGTAGTTTTTGAGTTATCTTCTATAATGCGTATTTGATTGACTTCCAGTGCATTGATGATGTTCTCATTTTATTTATATTGAAGTCGGTTGTACAAAGTTTTTATTTTAATCTATTATTTTTCCTTTTATCTATTATTGTAACTAATTAGCAGTGTACCCACAGCTGTGTTCTGATCTAAAGGGTTAACAAAACGTCTGTAACCAAGTCTCCGGTTTGAAGTTAGTTGCAGGTGTACACGGACTGTACTATCCCCCTAACTTCAAATATTATTAAAATGTAACTTCTCGGTAGATAGCGCACTAAATGACTAGATACATCCTTTATATTGATTGTCAGTCATGTTGTTTGTATTTGGTAGTGATTGAAATACATATTTGCAGAGGCTCCAGAGGGCGAAGCACCCGAAAACGCCCGAAGTGTATTGAACGCGGACACTTTGAGACAACTTGGGGAAGCCTGGACGAAGTTCCTGGAAGACGGCACATTTGTCGTTATGGTATGAATTGGGGACTGCATTTCACAATACTTCATTATCATCACAGTTCATCATCTTTTCAACCGATCATAAGTCCACTGCTAAACGAAAAACTTCCCCAAAGGTTGATCTCATGTTCTCTACATTCATCGTACAAAACACAACACTAGCTGTCTTTCGCCGGTATTCTGTGAGAGCCTGGACCTTCCCTGGTCAAGCTGTCCCATTTGTGCTACAGCTATAAATATAGCTGCTGCGTGGCTCTATGACGTAAAAATAATAATACGGCGAGATTTCAGCCCCTGAACTACTAAGGTTATAATAACAAACACATTTTTTGTATTTTTTTCAACTGACTTAAAAAAAGGAGGTATTCAATTTGACTGTATTTTTTAAGTGTGTTACCTCATAACTTTTCTCTGGTTGAACTATTTTTGATGATTCTTTTTTATCTGAAAGCTTAATTTCTGGTGCTTTCAGAAAAAAAAAAAGAATCATCAAAGTGGTTTTTTGGGATAGGGTGACAGACGAGGTCACAGTCCACCTGATGGTAAGTGTTTGCTTTTGTCCATAGACATCTACATCTATCCTCGATTACGAATCAATATGCAGATGCGTTATCACCCGTGAGGACTAAGATGTAAAGCCTCGTTTTCAGTAAAAAGGGTCTCCGGTTCTCTACACTCACCATACGAAACACAGTAGCATTAAGCTACTATTTTACGCTGATATTCTGTGAAAGCGTGGTCCTTCCCCGGTCGAGCCGACCCATTCGTGCTTATAACTAATAATCGAATAATCCAAAACATATATTTTTTTGTATTTATTTTTCAACCGACTACAAAATATATTAAGTATTCAATTCAACTGTATATTTTTTATGTGTGTTACCTCAGAACTTTTTTCTGGGTGAACCGATTTTGATGATTTTTTTAATCTGGTGCTTCTCATGTGGGTACCATATAAATTTGATCAAGATCTGACAAGTCTTTTTAAATTATGCGTATTTAATTGACTTCGAATACACTGATGATGTTCTCATTTTATTTATATTGAAGTCGGTTATACAAATTTTTTATTTTAATGCTTATGTAATATACGCCATGTTGACGTGCGATTCTTAGCAATAATTTATAGAAATTTATCGTATTTTGTTTTATAGGATAGGGTGACAAACGAGCACACAGTCCACCTGATGGTAAGTGGTTGCTGCGACCCATAGACGTCTACATCTATCCTCGATTGCAAATCAAAATGCAGATGCGTTGTCACCCGTGAGGACTAAGATGGATTGCCTCTTTTCCAGTAAAAAGGGTCTCCGGTTCCCTACACCCACCATAGTAGCACTACGCTAATATATTACGCTGGTATTCTGTGAGAGCGTGGTCCTTCCCCGGTCGAGCCGATTCATTCGTACTACAACTATACTACTAATATAACTGCAGCATGGCTCTTATGGTTTTTACAATAATGCTTTTAAATTTTGTTTTCAGTGCGATGATTTCTGGACGTCTCCGCACGTGTATAAGGATATGAAGAAATACGACCCCAATTTGTACAGAAAGCTTCAGTTCGCGGTCGCTGTTTTGTTTAAGGGCGATCTCAATTACCGCAAGTTGCTCGGCGAGAGGAACTGCAACCCGACGCTCGGGTTCGAAGCCGCTTTACAAGGTGAGGGTAGTTTTATAAAGCAGGGTGATAAACTAAATGTAAAATGGCGGCGTAAGGCAATCCACGACCCCTTATTATCCAGTGTATGTCGTAAGAGATAACAGAGGGAAATAAAACGGAAGATGGATAACGGAATCTTCCGGATTACAACTTAAAATTAAAAAAAATACTGAGGTTGTCAATACGCCTGCAATGCTTGGCATCTATGGTAAATATCCTCGTTATGATGCCATCTATTTGGGAGGCCTATGGTTTAGTAGTGAACGTCTGGTACGCTGTAATGAATGAGTGAATGGATGACAAACTTTTTATACAAAATTTTTATACGCGGTAGAGCCATGCTGCAAGTATATTAGTAGTATAGTTGTAGCACGAATGGGTCGGCTCGAACGGGGAAGGACTACGCCCTCCCTGAATACCAGCGTAAAATAGGAGCTTAATACTGCTGTGTTTCGTATGGAAAAGAAAGGGGAATGAAAGTGAACGCAAGTAAGACGAAAGTGATGGTTTTTGAAAGAGATGAAAGCAAGACGGTATGTGAAATAAGAATAGAAGGAGAGTTAATTGAGCAAGTGGATGAGTTCGTATATTTGGGATGTGTATTCAGCAGGGATGGGAGATATGATAAGGATATTGAACAACTAGTGAATGCAGGAAATAAAGTGAATGGGGCCCTACACTCTATTGTGAAGAGTCAGAATGTGTCAAAAAAGGTTTATTTCGTATGGTGAGTAGAGACCCGGAGATTATTTTCACTGAAGACGAGGCATTCCAACTTAATCCTCAAGAATGACAACACATCTGCATTTTGGTTCTTAATTGTGGATATATGTAGGTGTACAACCAGTGCGTGTTGCCAGTGATGACTTATGGAATTGAGACGTGGTCCTTTACTGCTGGTCGTATGAGGACGATCAAGGTCGCTCAACGAGCTATGGAGAGGGCTATGCTCGGGGTTTCTCTGCGTGAAGGAGGATATCCGCAGTAGAACCAGAGTGACCGACATAGCCCAACCGATTAGTAAGTAGTGGCAATGGGCCGGCCATATAGCTCGAACAAGCGACAACTCGCCACTAGATGTAGTGACGACCTGGTAAGACATGCAGGAAGTCGATGAATGCAGGTGGCTCAGGACCGTGCTTTGTGGCGTTGCTTGGGGGAGGCCTATGTTCAGCAGTGGACTTGTGAAGAGCTGTAATGATGATGATGATGTAGTACATCTACTTACCATCAGGTGGATTGTGTACAACGTTATCACTCCTGCTTTAAAAAATCCTTCTATGATATAAGAGGTGATCTTTTCCCAGTGGGATGCCCTTAAACTCATATACTTACTTTCTTGACAAGTTAATGCTGCATTTTTACAATATACTGGCGATCTGCCCCGGCTTCGCTTGACAACAGCGCCATCTACTGGGTCCAGTTGTCAATCTAAACCATTCAGGGATCCACACAAAAAATCGTTTCTGACGTTTTCAAGTGGTGATATTTCATACGTGCGGCAATTGATTATTATTTATTATAGATTTGGTATTTCTAGGGTTTATGCCAGCGCCACTAATAGCCCTGCGCACTGTGAAAGCTGATTTAATTTGCGGTCTGCCAAAAGGCAAGTTTGAGCAACTGAACAAGTTCGACGAGAAGTGGATGGAAAAAGGCGATTATGGGTGAGTTTATTTTTTATAGGATAAGGGTGACAAACGAGCACACAGTCTACCAGATGGTAAGTGGTTGCTGTGGCCCATAGACATCTACATCTATCCTCGATTACTAATCAAAATGCATTCTTCTTTATTAACTGGCTTTACGGCTCTGGTTTCTAGACCTTCTGAGCCTATCCTTTCTTTTGGAATCTTCATTTTATGTTCTTTTTCTTCACAATATGCTGATGCGTCACATTGCGAAGCCCTTGGGAGATTTTGACGACAGCTCAACCCAGTGGACTGTTGATGACGACAGCTAATCAAGTTCATAAGGCGCCCAAGCGATCAAAATAACTTGAGGTTTATATCAACATCAAAGCACTTGTTTCGTCGTTTTCTCTAATAGTTCACACGCGCGGACACCATTAATTCACAAAATCGCATCACTTTTACGAATCAAAATCCACTTCAAACTATTATTCAAGCGACAAAGAAGAAAGAAAGAACCATTTATTTGATAATCACACTTTACACACAATTTTTGAAATTTAAATATAAATTACAATGGACAAAGAATATGCATGCACAGATGTAAGACTACTTACGCATTAAAAATTATTTAATAAGCAGAACATGCGTGATGTTAATTAATAACGAAACAAAAAAAAATTAAAAAAAAAAGAATTTAAAGATAAAATGTGACATCAAATAGGTCTCCAACTCAGCATAATGCTGCAGAGGCACCACTGGTTTTCAGTTGGAGCCTTGTGACTTCACTGACGAGTCGGTGTGTGAACCTCGAGTTATGCGTAACTACAACTTATAGACTAATAGTAATTAGGCAGTGGGTTAAAGAGTAGTGCTAACGAACACAGTTAACACAGACGTACTGTATTAATATCAATATAAATGGTGTGTAGCACATACGAGTACACTATACCTATACTTACATAATATAACATATTTGGTTCTATGGGGAAGACAAAGCAAAGTAGCAATAAAAATTTTGATTTTAGTACATATATAATTTATATTCTGTACTCAAAGGGACACGCCACGTTACAAGACCTCTTAGATTTTTTTTAGAAAATAAAAAGTAAGATTAAAAATAAATAAATAATAAATGATCATTCATCACATGTGTAACAGAAAAAATATGAATATTATTACTATTTTGCGTTTTAAACCTAATTATATTACGTATTTAGAACTTGTTGTGCTAAGTAATAGAACTTTAGTTTGTTTTTGAAACTATTCAGTGATTTTAGGGAACGAATAGGTGGTGGTAGATCATTCCAACAGTGGGTTGCTGCAAATTTGAAACTACCTCGAAACGCAGCTGTGCGGTATCGAGTTGTTACAAGGGAATGAATAGAAGCTCTTGTATTATATTTATTTTGATCTCGAGCCCACTTCAGCTTTTGAAATGTATATGGACGCTGTTTTGTTATTGTTGAGAATAGTATAGTAGCAAGGTGTAATTTTCTCCGAGCACTCATTTTTAACAGATTAGTATTGTTCAAATAAGGCGTTACATGACTTCGAGGCGGGACAGTGAAACAAAACCGAGTACACGCATTTTGCACCCGCTGTATGAGCTTCTCTGACAGTCGTAGTCCATAGGCTGCATCTGCATAATTTAACTTAGACAGTATTAATGACTCGCACAATCTTATCCGGATATCTTCACTGAGGTAATGCCGAACTTTATACAACAACTTCAAACGGTAAAAGCAACTGCGCACTCCTTCAAGTACATGACTTTCAAATCGCAAACTAGAATCAAATAATATACCTAAATTTCTTGCCTCAGAGACTTGCTGTATAGGTTCATTATCAATTATAAGTAAGGGCTGAAGTATTGATATATTTTTAATATTTTTATTTGTTCCTAGAATTAAAAATTTTGATTTTTGTGGATTTATCACAAGAGAATTTTGCTTGGACCATAACGAGATACATTTGAGATCTTCATTCAATAATTTGATGGCAGTTTCACAATCTTGAGGGAAAAAAGAAATATATATATATATATATATATATATATATATATATATATATATATATATATTTGCAGTTACAATTTTTGATACAGCTAGTGATGTCTGAACTATACAAAATAAATAAAATAGGACCCAGGATAGATCCCTGTGGGACACCGCGAGAAACTAAGTATGGTTCAGACATAAGTATTGTGCCATCATGTTTTGTTATACTAACATATTGCAATCTATCTGTTAAGTAACTATGAAACCATTGAATTGTGCAAGCATCAAATCCATAGAAAGATAACTTAGACAGAAGAAGAGTACAATTTATGGAGTCAAAAGCTCGTGAGAAATCTAAAAGAGTAAGTATTGTCCCCATTCCCTTATCCTGAGCTGTTAGTATATTATCAACAACATCAATAATCGCTGATGTGGTGCTATGGTGTTTACGAAAACCTGACTGTGATAAAGGTAAGATTTTGTGTACCTCTAAGTATTCGGTTAACTGAACGCAGACCACTTTTTCTAATACCGTAGATAAACAACGCAAGATGCTTATGGGGCGTAGATCTTTTAAACAGGTTCCCTGTTTTTTCTTAGGGATAGGCTTTACCACAGCTATTTTCCATTGATTAGGGAAGGTAACTTTCAATGTATGTGGCAGTGTCATAAGTAACATATCAAGTGTTATCTGATCCACACCTTGGGCGTTAGATTTCAAACTCTGAATTATTTTAGCTATTTGGTCCTCATTTGTTATATTTAAATGGAAAATACCTGGCCCATATTTGTTAAACTCATAGAAAGTAAGTTTTGAAAGGTCTATATTATCATCAGGAATATTCAAAAAATATTTATTATATCAGGATCATTACAATGATCTGGCAAATTTATCTCAGCCTGTTCCTTAGTAATAATATTACCTTTTATACTTTTCCATAGAGCTTTAGGGTTATTTAAGTTTTTATTAATATACGTTTCAAAATATGCTCCCTTTTCAAAATGAATAGCATTAGTCACAAGGTTTTTTAGATCTTTATAGGAATTATAATATTTAACAAAGCAGGAGTGACAATCCGTCTACGGCAAAGTTCCCGCCAAAACTCCAATCAAAATGCAGATGCGTTGTCATCCATGAGTGTTAAGGATTATGGGGATAATGAAATATATAATACTTTGAACATAAAACGTGCTTTTTATTAATCTCAAAACAACAACATGGAGAGCCTATAACGTCATATTGAATTTTCCTTCATAACCACAGACACAGTGTTGACAACCGACGCAGTGTTGCCATTAAAATACAATATTTGAAAAGGAACCAAGAAGGAGCACACACTTTCGGGCTCTGAAACAGAAGGGAGGAATCGAGGCTTCTCTCGATCCGGCCTCCTATAACGCCTACGTTGGGTTCGGGAACAACGTATGTGATCTCCGCAACGGAGTAACACATAAGGGCGATAACCTCTTCCTTTTCAGCGAGTAGGTTCAGACGGGGATTACGGGTCTTCCGAAGTCGTCCCGGTCCCGACGCCTTAATTCTTCGATGTGGACTGTATAACTTAAGGGATGAATTTCTTGGGAATAAAACAGCAATTATCTTCAAACCGTTCCGTGAGAGAGTAATCACTTTTCCCTATCACTTCCCTACACTTTTTCTTTCTTCTTCTTATTGACTGCTGGTAAGATCCCCGAACTATTTCCCCGAACTATCTCGAAGGATTCCCGAACGATTCCCGAACGAATTGCAATAAAACCCGTTCACTAAGCTACCCCAGAGCTATACGCGAAAGTGAGCCGCGCCATTCGCGCGCTTACGCAACTCAATTACATGAATTTGTTCTATTACTCTCTCACGTTTTACTTAATTTCTTTATTTGCATAAGTCTTACATCAATACAATTTATCTGTATAGATAGCACAAAACAATATCTACACTACGATTTACATTACATTTTCATATCACGAAAAACCTTTTATTTATTAAATGAAATATGCCTATTTTAATCACAAGTGCAAAGTCAAAATTTCTTAAATATTTAACACAGAAAGTTAAAACAATGTTTCCCACTTGAATTTATACATATGTTAACTAATACAATAGTTTAATTTACATTTTCCCTATTTATTTCACTATTTAAAACACTTTTAAATTTCTTATACAAAACTATCATTATTTCACTTATACACAGGAATTTTCACGTAAAAATAACACAGAATTCACCTTTTTAGCACGTACAATCAACCTGAAATGTTTTACAAGTCATTTTTACATAAATTGCTGAAATTACAAACATTTTAAATTTTTACATATTCGGCCTCCTAAGGGCGTGGCTTAGCGTGCGTCTATGAACTCACACTATTTGAACAACTAACTTTTGCACGGCTCTCGGCTATCAGAAAAAATGAAAGTCTGATATACACCAATTTTAACAATATTAGGTAAATTAAATGCTTTTATACAATTTTCGAACTGTAGGAAACTATTTCTAATCAGATTCTTATCAGTTATCATGTTTCTTATCAAACAATATAAATAGGTAAATAGGCATTTGTTTTCGTACAAAACATATCAAACTTATGTAAGACAATACTTATGCAATTAATTTCCGTTAATTCTGTTTATGCACAGAGTGATCATCTCGACCGGGGAACAAATCCGATCTCTAACTTCACTTTAATATTCCTTTGAATTTACATCATTGGAAAGATGATTTCAACCGGGGAACCAATCCGGTAACATAATTTATATCTTAAATTCCTTATGAATTTATTAAGCGATATTACTTAGGAAAACAAATAAACTAGTCCGGCCTGGGAGTCGAACCCAAGACCTTCATATCATTAATTCGACATTTCTTCAAGATTTAACTAAGCATTTTCTTATCAGAACATTATTATTGGACAACGAGTCTTTGAAAAGTTATTCGTCATCGGTTGACTTAATAAACTGAAATACTCTTATAGGCGCGTCGCCAACAATATTATATAAATCATTGTTAATAAACATCTCCCTCCAATGATTTATATTAACAG